TTTGGATTTGCCCATTCAGTCTTGACTCCTGTGAATTATTCAAAATTGTTATTCATATTTACCCATATTCAAAATCTCTTGTGGCTTCTGCTGTTGTTGTTGCTGCTGCGTCTCGGTAATTAGCTTGCGATTAGCCCAGGCGGAGGCATCCTCTCGATTGTTAACCATGGGCGGTGGAGGTGGTGGTGGCGGTGGGGGACCAAGCACTATAACGTGCTGCTGTTGTTGTTGCTGTTGCTGCTGTGCTGTCTGCAACTGTTGTTGTATGGGCGGCACTGGCTGATATTGCTCCATATTGTTGTTGCTGTTGCTGTTGCTGTTGCTACTGGGCTTTATGGCAACAGCATTGCACTGAAAAGTTGGTCAACAATTGTGAAAATCTGATAGAAGCTGAGCTTGTGTATTCATGTGTGTGTGTGTGTGTGTGTGTGTCGTGCTCTGTCTGTATGTCTCTGTGTGTGTGTGTGTTGGTTAACTCACTTCCGGTCCCTCGTCGCTGCCATCTTCGCACTGGGGAATGCCGTCGCAGGCATTGTAAACGGCAATGCACTCGCCCGAGTGGCAGCTGAACTGGAAGCGGCCGCAGTGAGGGGCGGGCACTGCAAAGGGGAAACGGAAAGTGGACAATTGGCATTTGCATAATGAATATGTGTCAGCGTGTTGGCTACGAACCGCTTTGAGGTGCAGCCGCTGCTGCTGCAGCCAGTGCGGTCTGCGCCACGCCCACTGACTGAGAGCTGCCCGCTGTGGGCATGATCGCAATGCTGGGCTTGTCGCGCTGCGCTTCCGGCTTGAGCTTCAGGTTGCTCAGCTCCCACTCCTGCTGCGAGATATTGTTGCTGGGTATGTGCGGCAGCTGGGGACGGGGCGTGCTGGCCAGCTCCATGGAGCTGCGCACCTGCGGTGTCAGCACGGCGCTCGTGTAGTTCGCATGTCGCGTGAACTTGCAGTGGAAATTCTCGGGCGGACCGCACTCGAAAAGGTAGCAATAGCCGCCCGACTTGCGCTCAAAGATGTACACATCGCAGGCATCCGTCTCGCAGCACAGACGCTCGCACTCCTCCAGCGTGTCCAGCTCCAGGCCCTGCAGATACTTGCCGCCAATCGCCTGGGACTCGCCCGTGCGGATGATTGTGTTCTTGTGCACATCGAAGTGGCCTGCATGGGCAGAAGATGGTCAGATAAGGGCGTCCCGCCAGTTAACGCGCCAATTCCTTACCTATGCAAACTTCCAGATCCATGCGCTTGGCCAGCCGATGCGTGGCGCTGGCCGCGTACTCCGGCTGCCCGGCAGCTGCCATGAGGAGCAGCGGCAGCTGGAGCAGATGGAGCAGCTGGAGCGGCAACAGCTTAAACAACATTTTGCAGCTGACTTGTGATTAGCCTCTTGGCTAATTGCCCGGACACAGCTCACTGACTCTCTGTTTGTGTGTTTGTGTGTTTGTGTGTGTGTGTGTGAGTGGGCGGGGGGCTCGACTGGAGCTGCGCGTTACGGGGGCTTGGCGTGTTTACAAATTTTACACGCTTATTGATTTTTTGGTAACAGCACAGAAACTGCGTAGTTTCTTTTATAATTTCCACTGATTTCTGATACTCGAGCTGCACTTGGCGTAGCACAATTTATTTTGTAAATGTTAGTCTCGATGTTTTAACGAAAGGTTTCATTGTATGCTGATAGTAAATATAATATCCAAGCAGCCCAACTCGCTGGCCCGAAATGTAAACCAATGGAAAATGCAAAAGAAAATTCAGCAGCAGCTCAAGCATGCAGCAACCCTTAACGACAAAGCTCAAGAGCTTTCCAAAACAGCTGTACAAACTGAGCTTTTGCACAAGATAATGTTAGCAATAGAGAAATACATGTAGTTTGATAAAAACTTATAATGATATATTCATAAATCATATATCATTATCTATTTAATATAATATATATCATATATATACTTATCGAAAAGTATAGCCTTATCAAAACCTGTTTTCCATGAAAGCTCCAAGCTTTCTCTCTCTCTCTCTCTCTCTCCTGCGCTTCCAGTGAACATATGTTTGGCTTATGCTTCATTTCCACCCTAACCTTGCAGCACCTTATAGCAGCAGGCCCAATAACAATGGCAGCATGTATTGGCGCATCCCTGCTGTTGTCCTTTGCCTTGCTCCTATTCCCATGGCCATCCCTAAACAGATTTTGAACTGCAAACATGTAGTCGGCATATTACAATAAAAATCAATAAAAGCTTTCGTATCTTCCCTCTATTATTCTCTTTTTTGTAGGCTTTAATAATTTAACTGCGCTTGAGGGTGGCTGAGGACTCTAATGTCTGTGTGGATGGGCCGATTAGGGGCAGGCAATCAGGTAGATTGTTGTTGGTAAATATTATGATGTGGTATGCGAAATACATACATACAACAAGAGAAGAATGTTATGAGGCCCACACATGCTTAGAGCTGTCATTGCAATTGTTTGTGATGTCAGTTGAAAGTTCTGTCAGGTGTACTCGAATGGGTAATATGAGGGTACATTTAAGTATTGTTAAGCATACTTGGGTATTTGCAGTCTGTGTAGGGCTCTTGATGATTGTCACTAAATTTATTTATAAACGTATTTCAGCTGATATGGTATGCCGAGTATATTATGAATTAAGAATAATATTCATTATTCTTATCAAATAAATAATACATTTCTGTTTTCGAAATTTGTTGGTAAGGAAATATTATATTTTTATTTAGGCATAATTAAAAATAAAATATATGTATGTATACAAAATTTAATATCTAGAATTTAACAATCTATAAAAAATATATATACTATAAATATTTATATTCAAACGGCTTTCATAAATATGCTTATACTACCCCTTGACATAACTGACTTTGTAATTATTCATACAATTTATATTGCAACTCTCTGAAACCTCAAGAATACATTCCAACTCAGCATAAACTTTTTCTTATCCCTGGTCATACACACATGCACACACACACACTTACACATACATATATACATACACGACACCCATTCCACTTGTGCGTAGCCGCAGCATAAGCCGAAAATGTCTATAAATAGCATCAGACGAGACGCCCAAAAATTGCACACAGCAACAACAGAACAGCTGTAACAGCATCGCTAACAGCGCTCTGTTAAGAGCTAACAGAGTGCGCTCTCACTGCTAATGGCTAACGGCGCATGCGTTGCATTGGGGTGACAACTTTAAGGCTGTTGAAGTTGAATCAACTTGAAAATGTTAATGAAAAATAAAAATAAAGCGATACATGGGTAAAGGCCCACTGACACCCACACCCCACACACGCACACATACACGCACACATACGCGCACACACATAAACATAGACTGACTGCGTTTATTAAAACACCCAGGCGCACATTGCACAAAGGCCAAGTCAGGCAACAACCATAATGACTACAACAACAATAGCAACCCCTTTGGCCGGGCCCCATACAAAAAAGGCAGAAAAATAAAAGAAGCATTTGGAGCCATAAAGTGGGCAAATGTGAGCAGAGGCGAAAAACCATTGCATATTTCAGGGGGCAGCTCCTGCTGCTAACCAAGTGGCAGCGTGTTAGACGCTGTTAACTGTGTGCGTGCGTGTGTGTGTGTGTATGTATGTGAGAGGTTGTTTGTGAGTGCACTCATAGCACCAACTGCCAACAGCAGCAGCAGCAGTTGCAACAACAACAACAACAACAGCTTTAAATTGCATGTTCAGTTTTTGGAGAGCGATTTTAATGCTTTTAATTTGAATGATGCAAAAGTGGAGGCAAAACTCTATGGCGCGACTGCTGTTGTTGTTGCCATGTCATTTAAGTTAATAGCAATAAAAAAAAACACCACAAAAATGAACAGAATAGTTTCTGCATTTACATATATCGAGGTTACACTTAATTGCAGCGAGCGTGCTTAAAGGTATTTTATTGATTTTTGTCGCTTTCAATTGTCGTGCTTGCAAATTGCATTAAGTTGAAAATTCCCCATGTCTGCAGACTATTCCACGTATCTGGGGAATACAAATTTTCTATTTATTTCATTTCTCTTCTGCTTTTTATATACTGTCTACGTCTATGCGAAATTCTGCGAATAGTTTATGAGCGCCAGGATTTTTGCGCGCTGTTGCTGTTGCCCCAGGCCTTGGGGTGAAGCCAAAAAATAAAAAAATAAAAGAAATTCCAAATTTCGAAATTGGTTTTTTGTTTCAAAGTCATTTGGCACAACGCCATCGCCGGGGTTCAATAACACGAAGAAATTTGTGAATACCCAGTGCTCGTAAAGCATGAAAAGGACATGTGCACGTCCAATGCACGCAAACAAATGGAAATCACATAAAAAGAGAGAGACAGAGAGGGAGAGAGCGAGAGAGAGCGACAAAGGGAGAGTGAGTCTGAAGTCTGGGGTTGCATTAATGCCACACAGCAGCCGAGGTTAGCACCAGAGTTGAGATCCTTCTTTGACCCGCAGACATGTCAGCTACCTAGCTACCCCACGTTGAGCAGGTGAGCTGTTGTCATCGCCAAACTGGTTTCAGCTCTTAACTAGAAAATATTATGTTCGGAACTTTGTTGCGGCTGCTGCTGCTGCTGCTGCCGTTGGCGTTGCCGAGTCACTTATTCAAAAGTTTCAGACTAAAAAGAACGCTGAACGAAGCTTGTCTCCGGCGAGGCAGCATGAGAAAACGCTGTGAAACAAATTGCCAAACGAGATGAGCGCGACTTCTTTGTGGTTGGCGCAGAGGCCGCGTGCCGAACTTCAAAGGGGGGCGGTGACCATATGAGCATAGTTCACATAGTTACTGTATCGCAGGTAGAGTAAAAACTCCAATAAAAAAACCCCACTTTAATTGAAGACTTTTATGAAACTGAACCCCCCTCTTGACGCACGTGAGCTACGGCTCTGTTACGCTTTTAGCTACCTCATAAATATGGCTTAACTCTTCGCTGCCTTCATAGAAATTATAGCGCGATTTAACTTTAATTAAACGCGGCAATAGAAATTTACATTCAGCCCACAACAATGGAGGCCCCAAGAATGTCTCCTCGGCTTAGTTACATCATAATAATATAAAATCAAAAGCTAAACAGTGTTATTCTCCAAAAGCCTATAGAAACCTGAGAAAATATGCATGAGCTGGAAAAACAGAGAGGGAAAAGTAATTCTCGTGCAAGTATCTAAAGTATTATTGAAATGTTGAGATCTATTTGATATATGTATATTCATAAGAAGTGTACATACAGTATATATGTATTCGTGTATATTACGATAAAGCCTCAGTTGTCTTATCTATTAGTAATGCTGATAATGGGGGATGAAAGATCACTAAGCAAAAATCAAGTCCAATTCTTGGTATGCCAGTTAATATCATATAATAACAAAAATGTTATTTATACATAACTCAAAACATAATAAATAAATGTCAACAAAAATATAATATTAAATTATTCATTTAAATAAAAATATTAGATTGTTATTAACATATTTATTTTAATCGAAATCGTGTTTTATACTTCACATATAAAATTCAGTTGAAATTTACAATCTGCATCGTTCATCTTAAGACTTCGATTGCGATGGAACAGATGCACGCAATGCTCCACATTATCTCTATTATCGGGCTGGAAGTGACCATTCCATTCGGTTGGATCCCAACTTATGTACGGAGCTCTACGGCCCGTAGTGTCCGAGAGAAAGAGACCTTCTTCGGCGAGATCATTGATGTCAATCCAATATTCATGATTCCTGTCCAATTTGCCAATTAGAGCGTTATACTCCGCCTCATTCTGAATGCTAGCCAAATGACCGCCAAGCTCTTGGCATCTGTATTTGGATGCAAACCAATTCATCTTATGCCGATCTTCAATATAGTATTGTTTATCTCCTATCTGAACGGAGCTCTTATCTGTTAAGTCTGCTATCTTCTGCTCTGTTGCCAATAACTTTTGTTCGAAGACGGCCTGCTTCGCCTCTAGTGACCTCAGCCTAGTCGTAACATCGAAGTACTTGGCTTCCATCTCCTCAGCATTCAGTCGCTCCTGGGAGCTACTGACTTGATTGTGCAATTTGTTGATGTGTCCCAATATCGGCTTGACTACCTTGTAACAGTAGCTGCCACAGCTATTGTCGAGCTCCATGGACGTCTGGCATGACTGAACATAAAATACATACTAAATAAATAACTAAAGAAAGTGAAAAAAATTGAACTTACGGAGCTACTCGTGCTTTCTATATAGCCAGGGGCTATGGCTAAAGCCGTCAACAATACAACGAAGATCATTCTTCTGACCGGAACGAATGCAGCCGTAAACTGAATAGGTCGACTAAGAATACTTACTTTATATACAGATTGCTCAATCCTATAGTCGGAACAGATTACTAAATATATGCCAATAATCGCCCAAGGGCTTATCAATTGCAAAAAAGTTTTCAAGTCAAATGTTATTCTGATAATAGACTGAAATCTATAAGCATTGTATTTTTATATTATTTATAACTAATTTTTATTGATTTATATGTATATATATATATTTTTTTTAATAAATTCTGTATACTTATATTTAAGCTGCAGTGGGTGAAGCAAGAGAAAAATTAACTAAAGGAAGATGAGAAGTTATTTCCACAAATTTTTAAATATATGTACATACATAAATAGACCAATTAGCATAAATTGCAACGACAGAATTAAATCAATAAAAATTATACATATGTACGCATTATTTATTATATAGCTGCCTCAGCTATTTGCAATTAATGAATAACCAAATACGTATTTAATAATTTTATATTTAATATATAAAATAAATTATTTTTTATTTATATACTTACAATTCATGCCATGTTATATTTAATGCAGAGGGATTATCAATTAGAAAGTCATTTATATATACATATGTATATAATATATACACACTCACCCAAGCAAGTACACGAACAAAAAAAAAACCCTCTAAGAAAGACATTTATGGATCATGTACCTGACACATTGGCTGACCCTTGAACCTGGCAAATATTGTCTACTCTAGAGTAGATAATTATGCGTGAACGCCACGCCACGCCCCGTTGCGCCCACGCAGCCAAGCTGATGAGCTGACGAACTGACCATTAATTATGCCAAAATATTCGCTAAGCCAGTTAAGTTAAGGGGGGAGAGAGAGAGTGAGTGAGAGGGAGACAAGGAACACAACAAGAAAATCAGACTACGTCGCGACTAATTTATGCTGAGAGAGAGTGAGTGAGAGGGGCACTGGGGGGGAAGCCGAGTGAATGCCGGCCACTGATGGCATAAAGGAGCAGACGGCATTGGGTGGGCCAAATAGAATTAATGGCAGCGCCAACAGGCGAAAACATAAAGCGACTTTAGCCATTGTCCTTAAGCATTGGCGACGTCGCGTCAAGGAACCTTCAAGTGCCCAAAAGAACGAACAGACGACGCCGCGCGGGGAAGGGAACCAGCACGGAATGCGGCTATGGGCTAGAATGCTTCAACCGCACAAAAAAAGCGCAACGAGAGACTGAAAGCTAGCTACAAGAAAATATGCTAAATATGGAATAAGTAATGCAAATACTGAGCATGCAGATATCCTGGAAAAATGAGAGGAAAGGAAAATTCGAGTGAGGTTGGGAATGATTTGGGTGAGGGCTAAAAGAGAATCAGAGTTCGGTTTTACTAAAAATATAATACGTATTAAGAGCATTAAGTGAATATACCCCACAATAGATTGGCAATGCGAGGAGCTTTAGAAAACATTGACTCTGGGCTAAATACAACAACAGATGCTGCTGCTGCTTTTGCTGGCTGCGTTGAACTCTTGAACTTGGCAACACTAAGAAAAGTTCAATGATTCTTTAACAGATGCACGCAAATAAATAGACTGACAGACAGACAGACAGACAGAGGTTTTGGGACTTGGCTGAAGGGTCAACGAATTGGGCTCTTAGGTGTGCATTAAATATTTAAATATTCATCAAAATTGCGCATACGCTGCGTGGGCAGTGCATAAAAATGCTTTCTTTCGCTTATGCAATGCTTATGCCCGGAAAAAGCACAAAACAAAAAAAAAGTAAGTGAAAATGACAAGCTAGAGCTACTGCATTATTTAAATGCCGAGCTGGAAAAAGCCAAGGCATTAATATTTGATTAGTTGCGAGCCAAAAAGAGAATGCCAACAACAATGGGAGCTCGCCGGCTGCCAGTTAAACGCAATTATCTAGCGCCAGTGCCTCGAGACAATGGCAAATGCCAAATGCTTAATGGCAATGGCACACAGCTGAGAAACAACAACGGTTTAGGTATACTATATACTTACATAAGTAGATGCTAAGCATACAAAAAATGCCTCTCATAAGGAAAGAAAGAAATGTCAGTCAGAGCAGTCAGAGCAAAACGGCAGCTCATTAAAAGTTAAAGCTCTGAAGACAAGAGCGTTTAAGCTGCCAGAGCCTCTTTATATTTATTTATCGATTTTCTAAAACGCTTCCGCTGACAGTTCTGACTGACGTCTGTCACATTTGCGAAAACCGAGCCATCCATCTATCAGTTTAATCCGATAATATTATTGATATTGTCGCGTGCCCCGTACTCAACTACAGCTAAGAGCAATGAAACTAGCTTACTCTGCTGCTATTTAACAGTCGTTGCTCTCATGCTATTGAGCGCTTAACAGTTGTCTGCTAGAGATGCGGCTGCAGACATCCCGCTGTGCATAACAGCCCGCAGCACTCTACCTACTCCACTCTCCACACTTCACTATTCCCGTCACTCTAAGCTTCAACTGTAATTTTGACCCGTTTGCTTTGCATGTGATTTTGTTTTTGTTTTCCCTGCATAATCGCGGCCTCTTTTGTTGTTGGCATTCTAAGCGTGGCCATGGCCATTGCCAATGCTCAACAGCGTGACATTTAACGCTATGGGATGCCCGTCCAATGATTGGGACAGCGCGAATGGCGGCGTCAATACTTTAATAACTACAACTATATATATATTTCTTTTGAATTTTATTGCCCGTATTTATGTAAAGTATAAACTCAGAGAGACTGCGTTGACTTTGTATGAGTTTCTTTTTGATTTATCCATGGCTTGAATATGTGTATTTATTTTAAGTAAGACTAAAATAACTCTCATGAGATTATCATATAACTATTCTTACCTTCTCTAAAATTTTCTCAAAAGCTTTTGTTAATTTATTTACAAACTTAAGAGCCCAAATCCGAACTTAAGCTTCATTAATATTGATATAGATATACAACAAGGAACTATATGTTATTGATATGATAATAAATATATTTTACTAAAGCTGCTAGTCCAGGCCATAAATACTTATACCGGTTCGCGCTACACGAAACGGATTGAAAATTGAATTGTGTTTAGCTTTGATGCATAACTAAAAACTTAAGTGCCATCGCACAGTGAGAGTTCTGCGCGGTCTACAGCAACCACAAGAAGAGCAGCAACAACAATAACTAGTGATACAACTACTACAACAACATTAAGTCCAACTAAGTCGAGGCAGCCAAGCTCAACATATTGTGCGGCCATCCGCTGAGCTCTTGTCATTAATCGCACCACGGTGTAAGCCCACAAATCAACAGTCAATCAACGCGCACAGCCCACAGAGAAGAGAGTGCCAAATGTTAATGTTAATACTAACAGTGGCGCTGCGTTCGGTCTCTCCCTGAGCTTTTAACAGCGGGAGCGGGCTCTCGTGCTCTTTGTCGGTTAACAGCGATACCGGGCCGTTAACATTTCTTGTGTATCTCTCTGGCTGCCCGTTGGCTGCGTTTCAGCTCAGCTTTCAGTTCAGTTTCAGTCTTTACATGGTGCTCATCGACTGCGCGTTGGACTCGATTGAATTCATCTGACTTTGCCGCCTATGAAATTTTTAAATAAAAACAGTTAAATAAACACTTTGTCTCGTGTCGCGTACATTTGGTGCGCCCGGTTGTTTAACAGAGTGTGAGCTGCTCCCCGTGTGTAAGCGTGTTTGTGTGCCTGTGTGTATTGTGCTACTCCACACGGTCTCAGTGCGCCCTCATTGTGCTCTCGTGCAAATGAAAATTTCATTGAGCAGAAAGTAGCCGCAGAAAAGTGGAAAATCCTAAAACAGCTAAAAAGCAAAAATAAATAATTACAAAAATCGCTGCAAGTGAAATTATTAAACAACGACTAAATCAATTGTGGATGCACTGGAAAGCTGCCAAAGCATTAATAAGCAAACAAAGTAATATTATAAATAATAATAAATATTTTAAGGACTATACAATATATTATATTCATTGATGGTCATTTAATATTTATGCGACTCGCAATTGCCCAGAGGCGAACCGCACTTTCTTCATGTCTAGAACCGGAAAATATTCCAATATGTGTACAAGTTGTTGGCCAGTCAGTCGAGTCGAGTCGAGTCGAGTCGAGTCGGGTTGAGTTGGGTTGAGTTAAGTTGAGTCGCGGCCGGGCAGCATCAGCCGGTCAAGCGTTCCGGCCAGAGCAGACCAGGCCAGAAAGAAGCCTCCGCGCCCAGCTAGACAACCAGCCAGCCAGCCACCTGCCCGGTTTGAGTACCAGACATTGCGGCACAGAAGCTGCCACAAGCTGACTCTGTGCGTGCGTGTCGAGCTGTGGAATTTTATGCAGTGGCTGGCTCGTTTATTTTGCCAGCTCCTACATATTTACAACTTCATATATGAGGCCTCTTCTCTATACTTTTTTATCATTTGGCTTTTATTGGCAGGGAGGGTGGCCGTCTCTGGACTGCCTGCTGACTGCCCAGCCCTGCCCTACCCTGCCCTGCCCTGCCGTTGGCTATGCATTCAGCGAAACGTAACGAAAACGCAACTGCGCTTCACGCTTCAGGCTCAGCCGCCGTCGCAGTCGCTGTTGCTGTTGCTGTCGCAGTCCAAGAGGGGGGCACTTGGCTGCCAGCCGCATTAGATGAGCAGCAAATCAAACAGAGAATGTATAAAGCGGTACGAATTAGCCAGTGAGTACAGTAGAACTAGGCTATGACGGGCAAAAGCGTCAAATAAAGGCTTCGATAACAGTTTTTTACATACTAAAATAAAGTGAAAATTTTGAGGGGAAACAATTTTAAAAAAAAGTAAATTCGTTTTAATATTTTAAGTATAATATAAACATATTTGTTGTTACAGCTTTGATATAAAAAATACCATTTTTCAAATATTTATAGTTTTATATAATTATATTTTAAAGCAAGTTTTAACTATAATTAGTTATATAAATACTTGGCGTATTTCAATTTTCTGTTCAGCAGATCAACTAAATATTTGTAGTTTAAAGTTGTTTCGAACTTTTTATTCAGCTATTCAGCTTCATGCTTATCTATAAAATGCTGATGGATAAAGTCAACAATTGAGCCATTTTCAGCTCGAACTATTTAGCTTAACATAAAATGCACTTGGCTCTTAGTTAGAAACTATTAATTGGACCCAAAAAACATAAAAGATTGAAACTTTCAGTTTTTGCATATAAAAAGTCATCTCGCAGCTGTTTTATGCAGTTGCATAAATAACTCAGGTTGATCTTTTGTTCACAAAAAGTTCCAACAAATTCATTAAAAAGTTTAGGCTGCAATTTTTTATTGGTAAAAGGGCTAAAACAGTTCAGCAAGCGCACAGCTTTAGTTACGTATTAAGTAGTTGATGGTATTAGCGCCATTCTAAATGTTAAAGGCAGAGAAAAGTCTTGAATGGAATGGTCAACTAAATCGTAAATGGAGATGCTTAACGGTACGCTGGATTGCATTACGAGCACAACTCGATTTAATCGACTTTTTATCAATCGCAGACTCACTTTTTGTTCGCATTTATTTTGTTTTGTTGCACTCTTTGTGCGCTTCTGTGCTGATTTTTAAGTGTGCCGTTGGCGAGTTTAATGTTGTGTCTGGCTGCATTTTGTAACCTGGTTTTATTGCTGCCATAACATATGCCATTGCCTGTTGTGTCTAATCACACGTTGCAGAGCAAGCGAACAGAAAAACCGAGATAGAGACAGAGATAGAGAGAGAGAGAGAGGGAGAGTGAGAGGCAGATAGAGAAAGAGTAGAACCAAAGATACGAAGCACAAGATACATTAAGTATTGAACACACGCGTTTGATTCTGACATGTTTACATATTTTGCTTTGCTTTGCCGTGTGCTATGTCTTCTTAATCGATACATTTACAGGGTGCTGCGACTGCCGCGAATTGCGTTAGGCTGACGTTCTAGCAATGGTTAATTAAGAAACTTGGATATACAAGAAGATGCTAGAAGTAAAATATAATCGAGCATCTTAAAGATACAAGATGTTTTAAGCCTTAAAGTATCTGAAAGATACTTTAATATTCACCTTAAATAAGCAAAAGTGTATGAAAGATATAATAATATCTACAGCATTCACCTCAAATATACAAAAGAATCTTATAGATACTATTAACGAATGTATCTGAAAGATATAATAATATCTACAGCATTTACCTTAAATATACAGAAGTATTAGAAAGGAAGAAAAATTTCTACAGCATTCACCTTAAATATACAAACGTATCTGTAAGATAGAAAAATATCTACAGCATGTAACAGTACCTTAAGTGTGCTAAAGATGTTAAAGCTGTAAAAATATCTCAAAGTTACAACAGTATCTTAAAAATACAGCATTTTACTAAGAACAGATACACGCCTATCTCAGAGGTACAAAACTATCTCAAAGATACAAAGCTATCTGAAAGCCATTACACACGTATTGAGACATATCTCAATGCGAAAAAAAGCAAAGCAAAGTAAAGGCAAAACAAAGCACGTCTAGAAAGCCAGATGTATCCAAGTTGACCTCATCGTTAACCACAAGATGCCCAGACTCCGCAGCTCGCCCTCTATTGTTCGCAAAAAGTTATTTAAGACAAACGAAAAGAAAACAAAAAACCGAAAAAAAAAAATTGATTGAAAGATACGCGCGTCTATGTATTTATTTATTTTTTATATATTATTTGTGCAGTTTTTCAAAGATTGAAAGATAATCTCCTTTTGTGTAGTGGCTTTCAGAACAACAAGCAGCCGACCTTCGACAGAGTTTAAAGACATGACCCCCACAGTATAGTAGTGGTAGAGAGCAAACATTAATTATGACGCTTGTTGTACGCCGAATGGCAATAAATTAATTTGAAATTAAACAACATTTCGAGAGCAGCGCACATCATCAGGCAAAACCCGAAATAGAAAAAAAAATGAAACGAAAAACAAAAAACAAACAAAATAAATAAAACAAAATAAATAAACAAAAGCAAAAAACAACAAATTCAATCTGAGAAAAGTGCCAAACGAAACGTCTGAAAATGTGAGCATGTTCCGTGGGAGATTTCGTCAAAAAGATTAATAAGCAACGGCGACGTGTTCGGCATATTGTAAGGCCCCAAATGCTCAACTCCGACAACTATATGTATATATGCATGCGTATATGTATATATCGCTCTTTCGAAGCGGAAATGTAAGACACGGCGGCAGCTCGCTGAGATTGGGCCACGCAGAGTAAATGCCGCGCCAAATGTGTAGCAAATAGAAGGGCATATGGCCAAAAGCAGGCAAAGAGGAAGAAAAACCATAATAACAAAAATCACATACATACAATATAATGTGTAAACAAAATTGGGCTCTTTTGCTTATAATTAGAAACGCTGCGCGACATACAAATGAGCAGCGAACGGCAGTTGGATTCATTGAGAACGCGTTATGCATTCAATGGCATATTCTATTGAATTCAAATTTGAAATACGTTAAACGATTTATTATATGCGAAAGTCAATCAGTTTTTTGTTGTTGTTTTTAAATATATACATATACATTTATATACGGTTTCACAGGCGTCGCTCAAATTAAATTAACTAATTAATCAATAAAAGCAATTGAGCGCTTGGGCTTCTTTGTTAACACGAAAAGCAATTAAATGGAACTAAGATATTATTAACATTTGTATTCTTGTAAATACAGGCTAAGCCCAGATTTATCTTCATTTTGAATTGCGTATTATTAATAAAGAATTATAAAATCTTGTAAGTTTTTAATCACAAGATTTGGCACATCGCGCGAGGCTGTAAGGCTTAAATACGAACTTAAAATGTTTTACACATTTTTATTGATTATGGCAATTAATTTCATTACATTAATTAATAATATACATGTGTTTTCTGCACATAAAATATTTATTTATTCATTAAAGAGTAAGAAGAGTAAGAGAGTAAGAATTTAAAATATTTTCTGCTTTCTTATATTTATTTCGCTAGACAAATAATAATAAAAAGTAAAAAAAAAAAAGAAAATAAAATAAATAGTATATTTATTTTGATACATAAATTATTAATACTAGATTGATAATAATAATTAAAATGTAATAATATTAAATGATAATAAAAACAGCATAATTTTCGAATAATAAAATAAATAGTAACTAAAATAAATAGTATATTTATTTTGATACATAAATTATAAATACAAGATTAATAATAATATTTAAATATAATAATAATAAATGATAAAAATAAAAACAGCATAATTTTCTATTTATAATAATTACCTAAAAATTAAATAAACATGAAATACAAATCAAATATCAATTTAAAATAATTTAATAATGACAAATACAAAAGAATATTTAAACATTATAATAAATACAAAATAAATGAATACAAATATATATTAAAGTTACAAAAGTTAAGTAATAATCATAAATACAAAGATACGAACAATTCCCTCCTTTCTGTTACATCAAAAAACCTTTTAAATAATATAGAAATGGAGCACGAATATTTTAGCCAATTTTATCGCTTTGTAGGCAAATTCAGGGTACTATGCATATTTAATGCAGCCTCGCTGGCGAAATGTCAAATTGTCAACTCGATATAAATATTCGAGCAGCTGACAGAGGTCGGTCAACAGATGACGGTTGAGGAACAACTTGAACCGGATATTGGGGCAATTACATTTGGCCATTAGGCCAAATGGATATATTGACGGCTCGTTAAAGTTTAGCTTGAAATTGAAAACGGGCATACATACACGAGTAAAAGTGTAACACATGAAAAATTGTTTCTTTTTGAGTGTACGTAACATACATATAATATTTCCGATGCTGATTCATGCAGCCATTAGCTGCCAGGTGTTTCAATGTGAAACCAACTCGAGCTGCAGTCGAGTACAACAGCCAATAGATATGCACAGCAAATTCAGGAGAA